TGGCGCATGACAGTGCCCAGGCGAATGGGCAGCAACGAGTACTCGCAGACCATACACACCATGGTGCCGGCGCCAGCATCGTAGTCCATCAGGAAGTCAGCGCGCCAAGCCGGGTCAAAGGGCTTGGCCTGAGATGGGGGAGGTGCTGGTGGAGCCTTGCCCCTTGCTGGCCAGCTCTGCAGGGTGCAGTGGACAGCACTGGGGCTCAGGCGGAGACGCCGGGTGATGCCTTGGTGAGAGTAGCCCTTGCGGCGGAGGCGGTGGACTCCTGGGTCTAGATCCTGGCTGGGCAGTGCAGAGATGGGGCAGCTGCCAACTGCAGAGGACAAAAGGTTAATGCTGAGAACCAGCAGCCAGTGCCGAGAAGCAGCTGCCTCTGGGATGGGGTGTACGGGAGCTGTTAATACAGGGGACCCTTGTCCAGTAGTAAGATGCAGCTGCCTCTGGGGTGGACTCTAGTGGTCCACTAGGGACTCTCCTCACATAGCCACCGTCCCACACTCACCTTGGTTCCCTGCACCCTGTCTCACAGTCCCTGCTTTGCCTTGCTGCTTCTGTCTCTTCCCCAGTGCCTGGGCTTTGCCCCTGTCCCCAGGGCTCTTCTGTTCCCGGATGCCTGGATTCTTCCTTAGTTCTCTCCCTCCAGAGGCTGCAAGCAGAGAGAGGGTCAGCGAGTGGGAGATCGCTGGGCCTCCTCGCCCTTCACCAGCTACTATGGGTGTCCTCTCCAGCTGCCCCACGGCATGTTGGTCAGGAAGGGAGTGCCTGCCCCTTTTTCCCCCAGGTCAGGATGGGGTCAGCAGTGGGTTGGAACTTAGTCGGCCCCCAGCCAAGGGGAACCATTCAGGGGCAGCATCTGAGGCTGGGAGCTAGCTGAGCTCATGGAGGGATGCATGGGTCCCTGGAGGGACAGGACAATGGGGGGAGGATGTGCTTTCAGCTCTGCTCTGGGGATATGAGGGTGGCTGCAGGGGATGCTCTCTTTCCCACAGCACCCTCACCTGGCTGGGGTCTGCAGTACAACCTGAGTGTGAATCCAGCTGGGAAGGAACCATCAGTGAAGAGGCAAATTTCAGGGGGTGCCGAACTGGGGGCAGCCTCCTCTGAGTGGGACATTGTCCCTGTGTGGAGAGAGACAACAGTAAAGGTGGGGTAGAGCCTGTGAAGGAACCCAGGCTCCTGACTCCCAGCTCCCCTGCTCTAACCCACTGGACTCCACTTTCCTTTCCAAGCCAGGAATAGACCCCAGGAGCCCTGACTCCCAGGTCCTCCTTTCCTAAACCCCACTCCCCGTCCCATAGCCCAGGCAGAACCAAGCATCCTGGATCTCAGCCCCAGCTGCTCTAATCCACAGGCCCCACTGCCCTCCTGGGTGGAATTGAACCCAGGAACCCTGCTCCTCCCACCACTCACCTGGACTCTCGGTGCCCGTGTCCTGTCCCTCCCTCAGCTGCTTGCTCCTCCGCTCCCTGGCTGGCAGTGCCACACCCTCCACAGGTCCCACACTCTGTCGTCTCCTCTGGCCCCGCAGGCGCTGCCCAGGCTCCAGGGCCCTAGCATCTGCAATGAGACACCTGGGGTCATGAGGGGCAGCCCCTCAAAAAGAGGAGATGGGCCCCCAAATGGCTGAGCATGGTCCCCACCCCCAGTGCTTGCCCAGGTCTACCACTCACCTGGCTGGGGGGCAGGGCGCCCTCTGGGCTGCCCACGTTTCCGGGTCACTGTCTGCTCCTCTGAATCAATTAGAACCTCGATCTCCGCTGGTTCCCTGGCCCCATGGTGCTGACCTAGAGGGGGAGTGAGATTTTGGGATGGCTTCATCACCCACAGCCCTGCTGGTGCCCTTTGATCCCAACCCATGGTCCCCCACCCCCACCCCAGCTCTAGTGCTCCTTGCTCCTGGCCTGCAGCTGCCTGCTACTCCAGCCCTAGGCTCCTTCCTTTGCTAGCTCTGCTGGTGCCCTTCAGTGCCGACCCACAGCTCACTTGCTGCCCCAGCCCTGGGCCCCACCAATGCAGGAGGGGCTGGGGGACATACCTGGGGTGCAAGGTGGGGGTGCCCCCTCAGGCAGGTTGCCCCCCTGGCTCCAGGCCTCTAGAATGTTGCGCTTCTCCTCTGGGCTAAGGCCCAATGAGTGGGCATGATGCTGCAGAACATGCTCCTGGGCAGCGCTCGGCCCACAGGTGCCCAGGAAGGTGCCACAGACCATGCACACGGCCCCGCCGCGCCCCGGACAGTCTCCCACTAGGTACTCCTGCTGCCAGGACCTACTAGGCCCTGCCTCTGCTCGTGCTCCTCCTAGCAAGGAAGAAAGAATGTGTTCAGGGGAACGGGAACTCAGGAGTCCTTGGCACCCGGCCACCTCAGCTCTAAGCAGAAGACACCATTCCCCTCCCAGAGCGGGGGCTAGAAACCGCAGTCCTGGCTGGACAGTCCATACCTCTGTCTAGAGGCTCCTTGTCAGCCTCTTCCAGCTTGACCGCGGGAGCGAGGTCGCCCAGAGGGGCACAGAGTCGGGCACAGGCTGCAATTGGCACTGGCTCCTCTGCCTCGCACTTCAGCGAGACGGCGATGTACTCCAGCTGGGGTGCTTCTGCCTTCACGTCCATGGCTGGGCCGAGGCAGAGCTAAGTACAGTGTGGGGGGGAGGGAGTTAGTCAGGGGAATTCAGACTCCTGGACCCTTTCACAAGAGCCAACCTGGCCGCATGCCGTTATCCCTCACACTGAGAATCCAGGAGTCCTGCCCTGCCCTGCTCTCACCACAAGTCCCACTCCCCCGCCCAGACCTAGGGAGAGAATCCAGGAATGGGAGCCACTCCCTCCCTCCCTGAGGCGCTGGCTGACCTTGGGCAGAGCTTCTCCACCCACATGTTGCCTTCTCCTTCACAATCCCACGCAGGCCTCAGCTCAAGGCCGCCCCACTCCCACCTTATCTCCAGGCACTCAGGCCTAGCAACAGCCCCTTTGTGCTCCTCTGGGGGATCCCAGGCCCAGTCGGGCCACTATAGCCAGGAACCCCGCAAAGGACCCAGTGTCTGGCCGCTCCCAGGGGCTTAGATCCTTTTTTACACTGGGAAATACATCCCTCGGCCCCTCCAATCACCATGACCCCTTTCCACTCCACATTGGCTCAGTGATTCCTGGATGAGGAGGGTTGGAACAATTTATATAGTGGGGGTGCTGAGAGCCATTGAACTAAACTGTAAACCAGTTCTGGCACCTATGCCCTGAACATGTCCTTCCCAACCCTCTTTCCCCACTGACCCCCTGGAAACCTCCCCTTCTTCCTAGATCCCCATAATCCTAGGATTCCCCTCCAAAGCCCCCTCCTTAATCTTAGGAGTCACCCTCTCCCCTAGGAACTGTTGGCCCCAATGATGGTTTTTCCCTTCCCAAGTGTCCCCCTCTTTGATCCTGGGATTACCTGCAGATTCCCTCTTTTCCAGTTCTTTAATGACCCTGAGAATCCAGTTGCTCAGATGTCCCTCCCCACCCTTCTGTGGCTGTCCCATGGCATGGGATGGGATGGCTGCAGGGCCATGCAGTATCAGGAAAAAGAAAAAGGGGGGGGGGTCACTCCCACTGGAGCCTGGGTAGAAGGCTTTAAGGCACCAGCTCCAAGTGAGTCAAAGAGGCAGTGCTCTTTTCCCAGAGTTGGGAAGAGAACCCAGGAGTCTGAAAGATTCCAAGATGGACACCCCAGATTGCAAAAGATCCCAAAGAGGTTTATAACCAATGCACCAGGCACTAAGATGCAGCCATATTTGTGGAGTTGTGCAGGCCACAGAAGCAGTTTAATAACCAGACATCCTTTGCTATGGAAGAGGGGTCCCCAGGACATCAGACCAAGCAAGATCTCAACTTGCAGGAATAGAGACCCCCGCAATCCTGCTATGAATCTGGCCTCCAGACCCCAATCCATGTACAATGACAGCCGCTACTGCATCCCACCCCTGTTATGTAATCCACTCTCCCCTCCAGAGTAACCTAGTCCCCTGCTGGACCTCATTTTTCCATGATAGTCTGTTCAATTCCCTAATTTTCCTTCCACAGGGACAGCCCCTAGATCCCATTGCTAAGCTCTTCTGCTGTGCAACTCCTCCCATACTGGATCCGAGGCCCTGCCCCCCAAAGTGATCCACACCATCCACTGGATCCTGATCTCAGTTCCTTCCACCTCTCCAGTGTGCACCCCACTGGACCCCAGCCCCTCGTTCCTTCTCAGTATGGCCTGTGCTTTCCACTAAATCCCAGCCCCTATTTCCTCCCACACACCCACAGAATCCCAGCTATAGGGGCTGGAACTCGGGATGCTGGATAGGACCCTAGGGCTTGAAGTGGTTTCCATCCTATATGGGGTTTATAGTTTGGTCCAGTGGCTCTTAGCACCCCTACTATACAAATTGTTCCAGCCCCTCTGATCTCAACCATCCTTTCCTGTGTTAACCACGCCCTGGCTGGATCCCAGTCCCTATAAATCACAGTCATGGGCCCCACCAGCAGCACCACTAGATCCTGGCTCTTCCCCCTCCTGCCTGCTGGATCCCAGCCCCCACCCTTCCCAGTGAGACCTGCACCCTGGCTGGATCCCAGTCCCCCAATGTGACCTGCACCCC